GTCCCCAAGAAACAGACTCAGAGACTGGTATTTGCAAGCAGGAATTTTACCGAAGAGTGTTGTTTGAGGGAAAAAAAAAAAAAAAAACCCTGAAGAAATCATGCAAACAAAAACACCTGAGAGTAATGAAAGTAGAACTGGACAGAAGAAAAAGTTAAAATGCAATAGCGGTTGCAACCAAGACTTAAGCTCATCCCAAGGAGAACCTCTGAAGCTGGGATGTCTTTTCTAAGAAATTCCGATTGAGACAAGATGTTGGGATTCTGTACTTTGTAAAGAACAAGTCACTGGATGCAGGCTGCCTTTGAAGAGAAAATTATTTTGGGCAAGAAATCTATTTTCCACTGAAGAACATGTCTGGGAATAAATTCATTGAGCAGTCAGCAGGCAATGTGCCCAATAGATAGGGGAATGCGTGTCCTTTCCTAAAGGGGGATTCAGGCAAAGCACTGCAGCTTGTCCAGAGTGTGTCTCCCTAGAATCCACCATTTGGATCAACTTGTTTTCTATAATGTTTATTCCATCTTGGACCATCTCCATTCAGTTTTTTTGTGTCTTTTTCTGAGAAAGCTTATTTGTCTATTAATGAGTAGAACTAACTACTATCCCTGCCTTTGCAGCTGGTCTCAGGGTCACAAGAGAAACTAATCCTCTTCCTTCTCTGCTAACCATTTTAATTTCTCACATTCAGCAAGGACCTCAGCTGGGCTGAGTGGCTTATCAGATATGATGACCCAGATCCTCATCGCTGAGTCGTTTGAACCATGGCTCATCTCAATCTCAACCTCCTCAGACCATAGCTAATATGCTTGTTAATTCACCGTCAAAATTAATCAAGGGAGGACAAAGAGATCCTTTAGTAATCACCTTGGTACCAAAGGTTTTATTTCCTATACCACTGTATAACAGCAGCTCTCCCTCATCATGATGATCAGGATCAATTACCCCTTCCATACTGATCTTGGCAATAATTAGCACAAAATATCAAGTGGCAGCTGGTGTCCTTTGATGAACGCTTACCTTCCCTAGGAACCTGAATCTCTAGATCTACAGAATGGAGAGTTGTGGAGACAGGAAGCACAGCTTGCCCAATTGAGTCCTAGGAGTAATTGTAAGCAGGGCCACTCCAACTTCTGCTGCCAGAACCCATGTAATCTACCTTTTTGGGACACATCACTATATAATGGCTATTGTCTTAGTTTATAAAGAAGTAAAGCACCCTATATTCACACAAAACCATCTATAAATTAGTGTCTCAGTTGTTCCTTTAAATGTCATTCTATCATCCTCTGAAGATGAGGGTTTTTGGGTAGCGCAGTAAATAATATTATCAGTGATTCACATGTGTCTTCTGCTGAACCTCCTTCACTGTAAATGCATTAATGTGTCAAATGCAATGGTATATTGACTCCTGTGTCAATCATTCAACCCCTATATAAGTTCTCAGATAATGGTGCTGGCTGAGGGCTGCAGACAGAAGAAAATCTGTAAGTGGACTTTGTATTGAGTCCCATCCAGACTGCTGCCTTTTTGAGGATGAATGGCATCAGTGTATAGTAAACATGTAGCCAAATAGCTATCTGGTTTCCAACGGAGATGGTACCTTATCAGGATTCAATGTAAGTCGGTGCTGCTGACAATTTATACATTGGGCTGGGGCAGTGCTTAAATCAGTCTATGTTGATACATATGCTGCTAGGGACATGAACACCTCCATCCCTGACACCCTGGCTACCCTCTTCACACTAACCTTGCGCTAACATTAAGTGGCCAAAGATACAATCTAGTAGACGTCAACTTGCTATGTTATTAATTGTTCTCCATTATTTAGTGGCCCCACAGTTTATGTTAATAGAAAAGATAATCATTTCCACACCTTGTGCCCTTTTCTATACGTATGTCCCATGACTCTTCCCTACAATCCTTTTCTGCTGATCTTCCAGCCTTTCTTTTTCTAGACCCTGATCAGCCAATGCCCATTAACCATTTATAGTCATTGATTAAATCTTGCCTATAAATCTGTAGACAGTCTTACCTCAGACTACCTCTCTTTCCAATGAAAAGATAACTGGCTGTATGACTTGATAGTCTGTCTTTGATTGGATATATATTTACCACTATTTTTCAGGGCCACCCCTGAGTATTGTTTCAGTGCACCTAGAGTCCACTTTTTGGTCTCCTAAATTACCAAATTGACCCATATATGGACCAAGATTAACCTTTTTCTTTTTCTCTCAACAGGTTGTAAAGGACTGTATGCAACCATGTGTTTGAGCTGAGGTGCAACAGTGATGAGGACTTTGGGGTCTAGGATCTTTTATCATACAGCTTGCTTGCACCCTTTGGGCTATTCATGCCTAAGCCTGCATGTACAACTTCCATCTTTTTATAAATTACTGTTGGTCCCTTAGTTGTGGGCATGTGGTCATTTGTCACAAGGACAAGTGACCCAATGTGAGGCCACAAATACATATTTTTTAAAATTTTCTATAACCCTCTGGTGTATACAAACAATAGAATAGTATTAAGCCTGAAATGGGAATTAAATTTTGACACATGCTACAACACAGATGAACCTTGAAGACATTATGCTAAAATAAGCCAGAGACAAAAGACAAAGAGCATATGATTTCACTTTTATGATTGCACTCATAGTAGTAAAAAATCTTAGAAAGAGTAAGACGGTGGTAACCAGGAGGTTGGAGGAGGGACAAATTGGGAATCACTGTTTAATGGTTACATAATTTTAATTTGAGAAGATGAAGTAGTACTGGGTAGGGATAGTAGTAATGATTCCACATAAATACAAATATATTTATTATCAGTGAACTATACACATAAAATATTAAAAATGGTTTTATGTTATAGATATTATTTACCTCATTAAAAATATATTTTAAATACAAAAAAAGTTAAAATACTCCTGTTTTCGTCTCTTTTGGCTACTTAATTAAATAGCTGTATGACACCATACGGGAGGTCTGGGCAAATCATTTCCATTACAGGCTTCCTGTGACATTGCTGGATCTTTCTTGTTGGGGACCAGGACTGACTTATAGTCCATTGATTTTGAAGATATGGGCTTATTTATTTTATTATATGCATAGAGTTATACAATTCTTACTTGGGTTTAAGGATGTTATTTTTATTTAAGTATCTCCGAGGATCTCTCTGATCAACTTGCTTAGCTGCCACTCCCACCTATTCACGCATTATGATAATTGTAGACACTGTCTTCTGATGGTCAAGAACTGCCACCTGATCATGAATATTTTCAGATTCCATTATTTTCATTGTTATTAAAGAGCTCTCTATTTTAAGTTAGTTACGTAGTTTGGTCATGTATTCCTTGTAAAACAGCAATGGGGTAAGAACTGGTGTCCCCATGTTATGGCTGAGGACACTGAGGCACAGAGAGTTTATATGGCATTTGTATAATACAGTAAGATATTATTAGTTAAGAGTACATCCTTGACAAATGCCCTGATAAATACTCATCGGGATCATTATGAACAAAAATAAAGAAATGTAAAATGCATGATATCTCAGATGGAAATTTCATTCCCTTTTAAAAAAATGTAATCCATATGGATCTATTTGCATCATTGTTGATACCTGATATTCAGGATATAATTTTAAGATAAATGCTAAGACTCATTTCTGTGAAACAAAGAAGGCCAGAAGCTATTCGGCTAGATTTACTTTTTTCTTTAAAAAGCTTTGTTTTACTAAGTAAAACCTTTGACTTTCAAGTGACAACAGAGCTTTAAAATGCTTTAAAGTGGTTATGAAGAGCAAGAAAGCAACTTCCCCAATTGACTCATAAGACCTTACCCACGGATATAATCTCATTTGTGGTTCACCTTGCTGCTTCTTGTTGTGCTTTTATAGTCTAAAATCCCATAAAACAGAACCTCAGAAAACAAATGACAGATTTACTGAAATATAAATGAGTGAGTAGTTATGATATCAACCAGATATGCTTAACAATATGTCTGGAGAGCCAGGTATCAAACAGGTCAAAAGGACTATTCATTCTATATAACAGATAAATTTTATATCTATCTACATATAGGTAGAATATATAATATATAACAATACATGTAAATACACCTTTACCCTTTGAAACAAAACCTCAATAGTTATTTATTTATTTTTATATGTAATGACTGTAGTAATCAGTTTATTATACAGATTAATCATTCTTGAATGTACAAGCTCCAGAGGAGCAATTGGGTCTTTAAATATACACAAATATTTCCATCAAATTAATTTTCACCATTACGTCCAAATAGACCTAAGCAGTTAAAACATAAGAAAAATAAGAGCTATTAGCTATGTATTAACTGAGAAACCACATACAAACCAAAGAATATGGAAGAGAGAAAGAAGGGCTGAAAGGCCAAAGGTTGAAGGGGTAGGGAAATGTAAAAGAGTTGGGAACAAAGTCCGTCACACTTGATGTACTAATAGCTCCAATCCATTTAAATGTTGACCCGTTAAACTTAGACCTTAAAATGCAGGATGTGGATAGAGTTTCATCTGGTTGGTCATAACTTTCACCTAAGACGTAGCTCCTTCGGAATAAAATGAATACAGACACAGCTTCATGTTCTTCACCTTGCTTTTCATAACTCTTTTGAGTTTAAATGGATTCCACTTAAAAATAATCTCCTACAGGTGAGTGGAGCCTTTTCTTTCCCATCCAAGCACACACCACACCCACCACCCCCGTTACACTTTGCTGTTATCCAAATTTAAGTCAATAAGAAAAACTTTTAGTCTCACACCTAGGTAATGCCTGCAGAACTGGCTGGTCACACACACACTTCTCTGCTAGGAGGCAATGTTGGTGCAGAAGTACAGTATTTCTAGTTTGTTGTTCCAAGTATGTACAACACACAGCACTGCTGTATCAGGTAAACATGTGCACAGGGGAAGATGAGGCGTGAGCTCATAGAAAGCAGTCAAATGGAAATAAAAAAGACTTTCTCTTTCAGAATTCCCCTATCTTTATTTGTCGAGGTTATCCAATAATTTCTTTAATTACATCGCATACTTCTGAGTCCATTCTCAAACTATTCTGTTGTACTTTTCTCTATCTGTTTTGTAGATCCGAGTAATCTCAGGCACTAAAGGATCATCTGGATTGGGATCACACAACAGAGAACAGATGGACAAGAGTACTTTTGAAATAGTGCTGGAGGCCAGGCGCGGTGGCTCACGCCTGTAATCCCAGCACTTTGGGAGGCCGAGGCAGGCGGATCACAAGGTCAGCAGATCGAGACCATCCTGGTTAACACGGTGAAACCCCGTCTCTACTAAAAATACAAAAAATTAGCCTGGCATGGTGGCAGGCGCCTGTAGTCCCAGCTACTTGGGAGGCATGAGGCAGGAGAATCGCTTGAGCCTGGGAGGTGGAGCTTGCAGTGAGCCGAGATCGTACCACTGCACTCCAGCCTGGGTGACAGAGGGAGACTCCGTCTCAAAAAAAGAAAAGAAAAAAAAAAAAAAAAAAAAAGAATAGTGCTGGAGACCACTGTGACCCTAGAATATGAAGACAAATGCTGCCATTACTGTTAATATTTGGATGATAAATTCTTGTTGTAAATGCAACCTTAGGTGGTTTGAAGGGGTAATCTGTTGGAAAATGAATTGTCAGGAAAAATACTCCACCCCGATAGGGACTGTCATTTGGCCCCGTTATTGTAGCTTGCCAGTGGAATATATCATCTCCGACAGGACCTGCTGAACACTGTGCTGGAGGATCCTGTGCCAGATCATTCAATTCTTTGTGGATTCTCTTCAGCGCCATGGTGGGAGGCGAGTGGCCGCGGCCCTCAGGGCGGGTACGGGGGCGAAGAAGGGACAGAGAAAGGGCTAGGGAGCCTGAGGCCGGAGAAGATGGAGAGTTCAGGAGAGCGGATCTGGTGGGACGGGCTGAGGGCGGGGCCCACTCAGCTCCTGCACCTGCCACAGCGGTCCAATAGTCATTTTTACACACACACACACACACACACACACACCAGTTGTGTGACAGCTTGTTTCTATACTATTATAGAAACATTATAAATAAGAAAGTGAAGACATCTGTGTATGTGAGAATAATGTGGTCAAAGAACGATTAAGATAATACAATTTTATTTTAGTGAGATTATAAGGAGAATTAATTTGAGATGTATTCCAATCTATTTACCTACATTCAGTCAAATGTTGAATATTTTCAGCTCTCTTAAAATGTATTTTCTATCTCATTCATTGAATAGTCTTGTTAACAAGTTGTTAAATATAAAGGTGTGCCATATTTAAATACAAATGAATTGTCTCATTCAAATTTTTATATTGTGCATATTTTAAAAACTATTTTTAACAAATGCCTACTTAAAGTTACTGAATTGATTTAGAATTTTTAAAATCTAATTTCTTAGTATGATGTATGCACAAAATAAAAATTCCTTTTACAGTTACAAAATTCAGCTTGTAGGTACAGATTATTTTATAAACCACATTTCATTTTATACAGAAAAATAAGAAAAATATGTAATTGGAGGATCATTTATCTTGAGACTTCTAGATATGTCCTAGACTGATGCAAACATAGAAACAATACATATGAATTACATTTATTTGACAAATGAAGATTCAGAAGAAATTTTAGGATGTTATAATGTAGACAGTAAATGGCAATTTTATTAATTCCTCAGAAATGCATGTCATCGTGTAATTTTTTTTTTTTTTTGTAATTTACAGGGCAACAGTAATTGAATGATAAAAATCAGTGATTCATAAACCCTAAGAGCTACACAAACAATGTGATATCCTTCATTTATCCTTGTCCTTCAGCAGATAAGAAAACTAGGACCAAGAGAGTCAAATGAATTTCCTACAATTACAAAGTTTCTTAGTGGTAAATTAAAGAAATGAGTGGTGAAGTTCTGAATCAGAAAAATATTTATTGTACTAAATTTTCTTATTGTTTAGAAAAAATCACACATATTTAAAATATATATTTACCTTATTTCTACTATATACAAGTATATACAAGCACTTCCCTAGGTAGTGCTATTTGATAGGTCAGCTTCATCAAAAGAGGAGAGAGAAATACTATTATTCTGTGGATGAGTTTCTAACAAAGCCGGGATGCAGCATGCTTATCTCTCCTATACATCCGCCCTGCCAACCACACAGGTTATTAGATGATACAGATTCATCACTAACAGTAAACATTCTTTGTCTTACTATCCTCCTTAAAAAGGAAATATAAAGAAAGAGGAAACACTACTGGTATAGCTGCTCTTACTCCAAAGAAAAGATTCTCCTTGCTGTTTTGGGGGGGACTCATTGCCACTGGCTCCCTCTAGAAAGATCTGAGATTGCATAATATGAGGAGTCAGAGGAAAATGCAATAAGGAAATCTTTCCTTCATATATAGTGTTTGGAGGCTGCCTAAACATTCTCTTAGAACACTGCTTATGACTATAATCAGTTTGTTCATCTGCCCTACCCTGGTATATTCTTGGAGCCTTCTAATACTGTATCATATAATCACCTTTTTCTTCTGCCTAATATCTTCTTTCTGTGCTTTCATTTCAGAGACAATGTAAGTACAGCAGATGCTGGAGTATCAATTATGTGCCTTAATTATTTGAATGGCACCCTCAGCCTCTTCCCTTCATCCTAAGTTATTAATAAACAGTATCTGATTTAATACCTAGGGAAGTGCTATTTCATTCTTACATTGAGGGTGCTCAAAAGAAATATAATCTGAACCACAAATATAAACTATGACATAATTTTAAAATGTGTAATATTTACATTAAACATGGAAACAGGTGAAGATTTTGCTAATTCATTTTAACATAATATTCCTAAAATATTATCATTTTAACACATAATCACTAAAAAATTATTAACCATGTTTTACATTATTTTGCTGAGTTTTCAAACCCAGTGGGGATTGTCCACTTACTACACATCTCAATTAAGACTAGCCAATTTTCAAGTGCTCAATAGACACCTGTGGCTAGAGGCTATCAGAGGGGACAGCACAGGTTTATCCCTGTCAGTTCCCAGCTCCAGGAACATGGAAATGGGGCTCCAAACTGTGCCTGATAGTCGGTTCAGGGTTGTATCTCCCACTCACCCTACTTCAACTTAATGTGGAAGTTTAAATAAATCTCATACAAAAATCCTCCAGGCAAAAGTTTTTATAAATACTCAGCTTTCACCTATGAGTTACTACATTCCCTTGAGTTTATTTTTTATTTTTTATTTTTTTATTATACTTTAAGTTCTAGGGTACATGTGCACAATGTGCAGGTTTGTTACATATGTATACATGTGCCATGTTGATGTGCTGCACCCATGAACTCGTCATTTACATTAGGTATATCTCCTAATGCTATCCCTCCCGCTAACCCCTCCCCACAATAGACCCCGGTGTGTGATGTTCCCCTTCCTGTGTCCAAGTGATCAGGTGCTGGAGAGGATGTGAAGAAATAGGAACACTTTTACACCATTGGTGGGACTGTAAACTAGTTTAACCATTGTGGAAAACAGTGTGGCAATTCCTCAAGGATCTAGAACTGGAAATACCATTTGACTCAGCCATCCCATTACTGGGGATATACCCAAAGGATTATAAATCATGCTGCTATAAACACACATGCACATGTATGTTTATTGCGGCACTATTCACAATAGCGTAGACTTGGAATCAACCCAAATGTCCATCAGTGACAGACTGGATTAAGAAAATGTGGCACATATACACCATGGAATGCTATGCAGCCATAAAAAAGGATGAGTTTGTGTCCTTTGTAGGGACATGGATGCAGCTGGAAACCATCATTCTCAGCAAATTATCGCAAGAACAGAGTATCAAACACCACATGTTCTCACTTATAGGTGGGAATTGAACAATGAGTTTATGTTTTAATTTTTATTTTAATTTATGAAGTTTCTGTGAAGAATGACATACATACAGAAAGGTGAGCAAATGTTAAGTAAGTAGTTCAAAGAATTGTTACAAAATCAACAAACATATACCTGTGTATCCAATACCTGGGTCAAGTAATATTAGCATAAGAAGAGCTCACTCTGTGTCACTTCCCAGACCACAGATTTCCTCAAAAATAATGACTATCCTAACTCTCAATATCACATGTTTGATTTGTCTCCTTACCAGCCTTATGTATGTGGAATCGGTAGTAAATACTCGTTTGTTTCTGCTTTTGTTATTCACCATCATGTTGGTTTTACTTAGTTTTGACTTCTATGAATAGGTTTATAAACTGCCAGGACATTGATGCAGTTTGAAAAGGAGAAAAGCTGTGTGTGACAGTCTGAGTGCTGGCATAGTTCTGTCAGATAGGTGTTGCTGAGAGCTGGCTAGTCACTTACAGCTGGGCAGCAGCATTGTCTTGTTGAACATAAAGAGTTTCACAAAATACTATCAGACAAAATCTCTCTATGATCATAGTGAATCAAGATGAAACCATGTCCATTAATTAATCATTTCTGAACTTAGAAAGCAAAACAAAAGAACACTGACTACACCACAAAAATGATCATACATCCTTCTGGTATTCACGCTAACATGAGTGACTGTTGCTCACCAAGTACAGCTTTAGACTTTATTCCTCTCACCTTTTACATAAAGTCTTTAAGATGCCCAATCATAGAATTATCTTCATATTCTGACATTACACAATGTAGAGCAAAGTTCTGCTTCCTTGAGTGTTCCCCCAATCACTTACGAAGGCCAAATCCTATCAATCCTGTCTATCACGCTGGTATTGATAAAAACACCAGTATTCAATGGTGTGTTGACTTCTTTGCTGCAATAAGTGAAAACAAAATAAAATAAAAACTACAACTTTACAGATGAAAGGAGGGCACTGACAATTTTTAAATGATTTTACAATGTCTACTGTATATGTAGACATTATAAAGTTTTGGTCACTGTTTTTGTTTCACTATATTGCAATAAGTGAAAATGAACTTGATTGTTACCAGACACTTTGGATGTGGTAAACTTCTATTTATTATAAAGCTGTTTTTGCATTTATTGTGAAAAGTATATTGTGACTTTTTCCATTGATTCATCAAATACTGATTAAATACATTTTTATTTAGGGTCGTCATCAAATCAGTATTTGATAAACAAGAAAAAGAAATTGTGAGAAAATAAATGCTTAGATTATTAGGGAGAGACTGAGCTCCACCATTCGTCTGCTTTTACTTAGTTCTTCCAGATACCTAGGAATGGTGACCAGGAATGACTATTTTGTGTGTGTGTGCAAAAATCATATGCGTCATATTCAAACTCTTAAATTTTGACATAATTAAAGTCTTTTTCTAACCATTTTTTCCAAAGGGAACTTGTTTGGAAGGTCTATTTCAAAGAAGATTTCACTGATTTATTTACTTTTAAGAAGCCATGGACCCTAAATTCCTGTCCCTCTTGAACAGCAAGATGTGCCAGGTGACTGTCATCTACTCTACAATTACAGCTCCTGTATGATTTGCTAGTCTGTAGTGCGAGGAGATCTGGACCTAAACTTGGCACAAATGGATTGTATGATGGGAGTCCTGGGGAACATTTATGATGCTTGTGCTATTGCAACTACTGTTCTGGGTTTTCTTTTTCCTGTTTCAAACACTGGCCGTGACACTGCCAGAGACAGCCCATGATTTAAGAGTGAAGAATAGTGCTGCTGTTAGAGCTGTGGTGTCTGTGATGAATGGAGGCATAGCAAGCAAGAAGGAAGGAAGATGTGAATTAGGAGGGGAAGGATAGAAAGTGACAGATTTAAAGCTCTCCCCCAAAAACACATCAGCCACTTTACCCTGTACACAATTTTAATTTTTAGAGGTTTTATGAAATGTCAAGCTAAATTTTGTTTGAATTATGGTTTAAGTATAAATCACCCGCTACTTAACAATTACAGTAGCCTGGGAAGAAATTCTTTTCCTA